TTCGACTCTCGGACGCGATCGGGTTTGATTACTCGAATCTGAGAGCTTTGTCCCCGTGCGTCTCCGCGAGCTATATGTTTGTTTGTCGATGAGGATTTTAATAAACTCTCCGCTATTTCTTTCTCGGGTTCGCTCCCCGGAAAGGTGGCTGCGAAATGCGGGCCGTCTATTTCCGCGAGTCTCTTGGGGTAGGTTGAGTCTTATGACGTGATCTTGTCTGTGCACGTAGGATCTCGCGAGTTCAGCTCATGTCTGACGACGAACATTCTCTGTCGGGGAAGCGATTGCGTCTCTCGGGTCGATTAATGCAAACTAGGAAGTTCCAGAGTCTGAACGCAACGCTGTCTGTCACCCACTCGCCTCGCTTGAACGCACAAAGCAGGCAGGATCGATATCCCGTCAACGATAAGCTTGAGGACGCGCCGAGGACACACCCTCTTTTGTAGTCTTGGAAATCAGGAAGTCGAGCCGGGGCATACGGAGGTACCTCGGGACTCGCGATAATCAAGCCTTCGTTTTCGGGGCGTAGCGTATTTGCGTATACACGAACATTCTCGTCCCGATTGACGGCGGTCGTGCGCAGTTCTGGGCAATGGACCTGAAACAGTGGTTTTCTGACTGATCAAATGCGTGAGACCGGTAGCTGGCTAGGTGAATTAAATCCCTGGGTAATTCGTTTTCTCCCCTTCCGCTCCAGAATTCCACTTCTGCGAAGCTCGTATCCAGGATTTCAGAGAATTTTCCGCTGACGAATCTTGCTCGTTCTCGGTAAGCCTCTCAGCCTGAGCGTATCGCGAGAACTCATACTCCTCGCTTCCGATTGCCGGCGCGGCGCTTTCCGAGAGACTTCCCGAGATAGCGGATCTTCTTGAAAAGCGCTAATTCCGCATCGGGGCGAATTTCAAAGGAACATGGTTTCTCCCTCGGCTGCTTCAGAGTCGATGAGGAAAACTTAAGCTGAATTCCCTCCGGATATTATGTTTGCCAAGAGTTTGTTGCTGGAAAACTCCCGGTCAACAACACGGTACCGCCAGTGGACAGGCCGGCCCGCTTGTCCGCCAGGCTGTAACGGGCGGAAGAGAAAGACGAGAGAGAGCAATGTACTGTGCAGAGCTCGCGCTCTGCTGCTGCCGGTTGGTCTCGACGAGAGTATTGTACCGCGTCGTCGTGTTAAGCCACGAACCGAGGTAATCCAACGCCAGAGGCAACTAGACTTGGCAGACCCACCTTCGACAGGGCAACAGCAAAGCGATATTGGGTTGTTGCGACAACGGCAGTGGCGGCTGCGGCCGAGTCAAGAGCCATCATTGCAACCGCAGGAAGAGATTTACGCTCTCTCTCCCTCTCGCCGGTTCTTTCTCCCTCTCTCTCTCCTTCTCGCCGCTCCTTTCTTCCTCTCTCTCCCTCTCTTTATCTTCCTCCATAGACACTGAGTCGGTGTCTGTTCCTATGTGCGTCTTCCGGTGAGACCCTGTCCCCTGGCAAGGGCTCTAACACCGCGTACCAGCTTCCTGTGATCGGGAGCGGATCCCTCGATTTCCACTCGGTCGCTCTCGTTCAGAGTCTGCGGTGGAGGTTTTTGTCCAGACCCTCCTCCTGAAATTGCGCGGACGACACAGAACTTCAATATGACGGTCAAGGCGGGCTACGATTATCGAATTGCTCACATACCTTTCTTCTTCATTTTTCCCTCTTCCGGCCGCTTGAGCGAACGTTCCGGCTGACGGAGCGCCGCCCTGTCAAAAAAAAAAACGAAACTCATTTCCATAAACCCAGGACGGGTCTTGCCGAATAATAGGAAGAGTAAACCTGAAACTGATTGGATGTCCAGGGGGAGCGGGCTGCAGACGTCAAATATATTCTAACTCGGTGAGATGGACAACGAGAAACGCGAACTGTTGACTGCCTTCTATCCAAGAACAGCACAGCACATAAACGAGCAGCCGTTCCAGATAGCAGACCTGCTCTGACGTGCAGAGCACAAACCTACAGACAGAAATTCAGTCGACCAAGCGGAGGGCGAGGCTCGGTAGAGACTCAAGCATTCCTTAAAGCGTTCGAGATCCCCAAGTCGGCGACGGCAGCAACTTCACTTTCTCACGCCTTCCGCCTTTCTCTTCAGTTCCATTTTGAGGAATTTCATAATAATTCCATGACCCGTCCGCCCGCCCTCTCGGACGGCCCCCGGCCGGTCCGTCTGTCGCTGCGTCGGTCGCGAGATGTTCTGAGAGAGCTGGACGAGTCTTCCTTTGAAGTTGAAAAGTCCCGCCGCGGCGGCGCAATAGCGCGTCTCGCACTTTATTGGATTTTTCGTCGCACAGTTATTCGTTGTCGTCTTTTTCCTCCGGCATCGGCGCGGTCGCGTCAAGTCCTCGTAAAGGAACCTTCTCTTCCGCCTCCTCTGCCTCTCGGGTTTCCGCTCCCTTGTCGATATGGAGTTCGTCTGGAAGACCTGGTTCGGGAATCACCGACGGCCCGCGATCTCCGCTCAGATCCGGAAAACGAATGAAGATCCCGAAATGGCCCGGCGATCTCGGCGGGCAGCTGCGAGCCGTCTCGACAGCGATCAGAGCACCGGAAATTACGTACGGGGCGGAAAATGGGAGTTCCTCTCAAGGAATCGCGATGATTTCGAGAGAATTTCATCGCTCCGACTCCTGAGCAGTTCTCCCACCTCCTACCGAGTTCCCCCTATTCCTGGCCGGGACTAATTTGAGCTCTGAGCGCAGAAGGCTAAGATTCCCATCTCATTGCGGAATCCGCCAAGTTCCGAGGTTCTCGATGAGCATTCCGATCTGTGCGCGGGATCGTGTAGTGAAGGAGGATGAATTATCACTAGGATATCCTCAATCACACATTCTTCTGCTCCTTTGGCGACGTCCGTCACACGATCTGTTATCTGATTCCGTTGTGGACAAACAGGGACGGGCGCAGCGACGACAGCAGCAACGAGTGGAGAGATCGCTAATTTATCGAAGAATGCAGCGTTATATAGTCTGTGCCAAACACGCGCCCGGCTGTCTTGGAGGCTGGCTGACCGGCCGGTCGGCTGGCCGGTTACCCATCCAACCGCCCAGCGATGCTCACTTTGTCTAGGAATCTCCCATTCTTTGGAGATGTTGCTCCGATTCTGTCCCTTCGACGGACTCTCGTGTTCTTTTCCTTACCATCGCGACATCTCCGTGACAACGGGAGCGGAATTCGGCGGAGACATCTAGTTTGTAATAACAGTGGCTGTCGCGAGATGCTCAATGACGACGCTCACAGACATATAGCTCGAACGGGGATCGATTCGAGTACACAGCGAGAGGGGAACGGAAGATTATCGGGGGGCGGGATACCGCAGGGAGCGAATGGGACAAACATGTTTGATGGAATTGTCAAGTCGCGGGAAACCTTGATTCCGTGATTCGTCGGCTTCCTACGCTGGTCGCCGAGGAAATAACAACCATAACTTCTGTTTGAGTAATGCCAGTTCCATCCGAGAAAAGCCGGGGTCTCCGCAAACTGTTCAGTCTCAATAATCTTCAAGAACACTGATCATGGTCATCCTGGTAGAGGGCACTTCGTCTCGTAGAGGCCCTCCCCCCCTCGAGCCCGAAAATATGTGTACCGTGAATGTTTTGATACGAGGGCATTCTTCCCCAGGTAGGCTTTTAAGGACCAATTAGATAAAGAGGCAGTCTCCACTGGTCGGGAACTCCATGGGGTAAAAAATCAGGAACTCGAGTCGCGAAGATTGCAGAAGTTCTCTCGCGGCTCGTTGGTGAGAGTAGTGGTTCGTGTATGTGGAATGCTCGCGGTAATTATTTGATTGATTCAACATAGTTCAACAGTATGAGTGACCGGACGGAGTTGTCCCTTTGATGGACTGGAGGAATGGACAAGCAGTCTCCAATAGACGGGCAGGGTTCGGATTGACGAAAAATAGACGCACATGCCCTCCAATCAGAATATTCACGGTAGTCGAGCACTCTCTATCATACTCCAAAACTTTTCATTAATACGGACATCCTGAAAACATCTTCACCTCTATGAAATGTCCACTCATCATCCTCTAGACTCTAGACGATGCGGGAGAAGGTGCGATCTCGGCTCACCCTGAGCCAGCAATCTCCTCTAGAGCAAATTTTCCGCTTTCTTCTACTGCGCGCTCACCAATGAGCTTCCGAGCTTCCTCCGCGAGTGGTTCGTATATTTGTCTATACATGCTCGTCGTGTGACAGGGCAAGGCTCTTGTTGGTTCGAGTGAGATGCGGCAGCGTGAACAATTTCGAGCGCTTATCTGAGAAACAGAGCAACCTCTACGAAAGCTCGAGCTCCCAGGATCGGGTCGCTTCGATCCGTCACTCCAGGAGTGCTTCCTCATCTGCGCGGCTACCCCTCTCTTGATTGTCAGAAACGGGCAACGGAGACGGGACCCGCTTCTGTCGACCCCGGTTCCCCTACCCCTCACCGCTGTTCTGGACCGGTCTCTCACGCACACGGATTGTCCCCACCGCAGGAGTCTATTTGCCTTTTCAACTCCGCTCTCACCGCGTCGGTCTGCATATCAACTCCCTAGTCTGCATGTCCATGGCTCCAGCGATTCGTTGCTCCCTCCGTTCTCTGCATCTGGAGTTCTTTTGTGCTAATATGTCAAACGCACTCGGCCCGGCCAACGCAGTCGACCAGACCACAATGGAGCGTATCGCGGAAAGGCTGCATGGGGAGCACAACTCAATTCCATGCCTGAGTAAGGTCTCTTGCTTATTTCACAAAACGCCAACGCCGCGGTCACGGTCGCTCACTCGCAGAATTCACCACGTCCGAATCCCGGTGGCCCCCGGTACCGGTAGACATTTGTACCGAGCTCGCGGATCGAGGAGAGGACACCAGGAGGAACCGAGGCCCCGAATCGCTGCCCGTCCATCCGTTCCACCTGAGAATGAGGAAATACATATTCTTTGCGGAGGCTTTATTCGCTCGGATTCCAGGGCAATCAGAGACGATTTATTCAATCATGCGCCGTTTTCGTGCGTCTGGATCCGATTCGTCAGCCGGAGGATTTCGTCCTGACGCCGGCAGATCACGTGTTTCAATAGCTCGATCTCGCGCCTCACTTTCTGTGGAGATTAATTGGCCGAAGTTAAAACCCCGATTCTAATCCCAGCATATTCCGACACTTCGAAAATATATTCATGACGGGGGAGCCCCCTGAGCTGCGAAACGAAGTTACCTGTCTCGCGCTGCGAATGCTCTGCAAGCTCAAAGCTCTTTTGAGAGTATGCTCATCGTCTCTCAGCTTCCGTCGAACTTCTCCGTCTCCTTCCGACGCATTGCTTTGTACTCCGAGCTGCCTTGATTGCATTGCTCGATCATTCCGGTCCTGAGAAACTTCCAGAGCCAGGCGCAGTTTCTCCGGCGGTCTCGAGAAGATGATTTCGTCATAATGCTCTGAACGAACCGAATTAGTGTAAATGAAGTCGCCGGTGTCGTGGTTGATATATTCGACGAGCCGCAAGTAGTGGTTCAGAGTCAGAGTCCGCATGGCGCGGATCCGAAATACGATTTTGATCTCGAGGTCAAATTCGCCCCATCCGGTGTGTTGAACTTCATATGGAGGCTCGGTGACCTCCTTCTTCGCGTAATAAGGGTCTAACACGAATACAACCTGAAAAATTCGACGGATCAGATGTCACCGATGTTCACTCAGAATGGGCCGCGTCCGGGAGATTTCGAGCACGGAGATTCCGCCAAAAATAGATGACTTGGATAGGGAAGAATTGAGAATTATGATTTTCCGGTTCCAGGAGGCGGTCTGATATCCTGTAGGGATCTCCACGATCTTCCGTCTCGGAACTCACGCACCAGATCCCCTCCAGCGACCAATTATCACGAACCGACTGAGGAGTCCCTCGTCGGTTGCTTTACTCACTTTCCGGATGAAACTCGAAAGATCCTGACCGTCGATATAGGGCCTGACATACAACTTCCATTCGTGAGTATGACCGTCTTCTCTATGAAATCCGAAATATCTTGCTGTGTTCCCGTAAACTATTCCTCGAGAGATCACTTGAGCTTGCTGTGTCGACTCGGTCTTATCCGGGAAGCCGTCTCCGGAACTTTCCATGACACCCCCAATCAGCGAGAACGAACAATTCACTAGAATGAATAATTACCAGCAGATGCGATCATCATTCCAAGGAACGTTATGAACGTCAGGGGAAGCAGCTGATTAGGAGAACGGTGATTCAGTCGGAATGTGGGCAGCACATTCGTGAAGAGACGCGCTAATCGAATCGATTGTCTCCCAGCCGCTTATTGAGGTCATTCTGCGATTCGCCAAGTTCTCTCCTCCAGAATTTTTCTACGATCCTTCTATCGCGAAAACATAGCAGATGCATCACCTATCCGAACGCAAGGCTTCCTCTTGGCCTTTCTCGCTGACGAGAAGCTCTCTCAGCTTCGATACGCAAGTGGGTAGCCAGTCGCGCCCTCGAAAGTGATCTACCGGGTCCAGGACGGCGTTCGTGCCAGCGTGCCGGACCCACCGAATCCACGCTTCCAGGGCTTCGAATGGATTTCTGAATATATTCAGAATTAACATAAATAGAATCGGAGTGAAGATCATGCGAAAATCCACGTGGTCCTTCGTCAGCCGCAGCGGCGGGGCTCGTATCTTTACCCTCCAAACCTGGAACTGATTCGTCGCGCTAGTCTTCGCGGGACAATCCCATGCTTCGGGTCGCATACTAGAATGCCGATCGACCGCCTCTTCCCCTTCGCAGCATTCCTGGATCTGCCACTGATTGCACGCTGCCACAGCTCCCGAAGTCGAAAGAGTGAATATTTCCCGTCTTAGAGGGTGCGAGAGAACTCGCTCCGTAATTCTGGGGTCGGACGACGGAGAGAGGCTCTAACTTGGAGCCAATCTCGGGATAAATCCGTCCGCGATACTCTGACGGCTTCAAGAGGATTCGGGGAGAAAAAGGACGCTCGCTGAAGTTGTCGACTCCCCCCGTTTGATAGAAGCTCATTCCGGAATGTCACCCGGGCTTCCTTACAATTGCCTTGACATCATCACAGAGCTCAGCTGAGGGCGGCTCTGACAAGAGTTCTTTCGGTCGAATGCGGTGCCATACGGCACCAGCTGTCGGCAGTGCCCGTCACTCTTCCTTCCGCTCTTGCGTCTGAGGGAGACCACTATAGACGAGTATAGAGAATATTTTTACTGCGGTTCTGAGAGAAGTCAAACTTGAATTCGTCGCGGCAGCCGCTTCTGAATTATGCATTCAACGCAGTGAACGACTAAGTTTGAATGTTTGACTTTTCGACGGAATTCCTAGGAAGGGAACGGCTCTCTGGTGCGTGTTCGGAAGACGTCCGGCACAGCTCAAGCAAACTACAAACTCATCCCTTGCAGATACTCCACGTCGAGACCTGAGCGGCGCCGGCTTGCCGGGATCAACGGTATGAAACTACCGACCATAGTTTCGATCGACAAACGGATTCTCGCGCTCGAGAATTAAGTTTCCCCGCAAGCTCCTTTCGTCGGAGTGGTGGATTGCTCGAATGAGCATAGAATATGTCCGGAAATCGGATATTACGCTCTGGAACGGAATAGGCTCTCGGACCGTTTCGGTGCTAGGGAGCCGGGGTTCTGCTGAGCTTGGCTCTACGGAGAACAGATCTTTTTTTTCAGCAAGCGTAGTGAGCAAATAATGGGGAGCGTCGAGACTCTGCCGTCCGATTGCCCTCCGTTCCTGAATTTTCCTCTTCGAAAGATGATCCATCCTCCCACGAATACGTTCAGCGTCGTTAATCGGGATAAGCGGGGATAATTTTGAAATGACACGCATTTGACTAAGTCTCACGGACGGGAAGCTCCTCATGATCCGTAAACGGAATTCCTCGAGGAATCTCGGGATGCAGCATCCTCTAGGAGTTTGTGCTGATTAGATGGGGCTGCGGCGATGACTCTTTCAGGACTTGTTCTTGATCGAGGGGTTGTCTCATCTCACCATACGTCGGCATAGCTCGGATGGTGCAAGAGTGGCGTTTCGAAGAGAAAGATGATTGAAAGACCTTAAGAATCAGGGAATTTAGTGGGTTCCTCGAGACCGAAGCGTTCACCGTAGGAAGGAGGCTCCACAATATTCTCCCCGAAAATCTGTTCCATGCCGCTGCGGGCGGGCGCCCAATTCATGAGCGAGCTCCAAGAACCTCGCTCCCCTCCCATCAGCGAAGCTGCTTCTGGGCCGTAACGATAGCTTCGTCAGAAGTATCGGAGAGCTACTGCTCGAAAATACACGTCATTCTTTAGAATCCGGTCGTTCTCCGGTCGGATACGCGTACCGATCGCTTTAGTCGGAGCTGTGAACGTGACATGAATCATTGTCTGTCTCTGGCAAGCGGGACACTTTGGATTGTCAGTGAAGGGAAACGGCTGATTATTGTACGGTGCGGACCGGATGGAAGGACTCGTGCAACACGTTACAGTTGAACTCCCGGAAACTCTTCCTCCGTCCTCCCTCTGTTCCGCCGGCTGGAGTCTCCGGTGTTCTTTCGTCTGCGTCGCGTTCGTAATGGTTACCGAAAGCCCTGTCCATTTGAAACTGGACGCTGCTCCAAACGAACGGCAGCGGGAGAAGCGACGAGTCGACTCGCTGCGTACGGATCAGATTTCTTCATGGAGCTTTCGGGAAGGGATGGAAAATAAAAGGTCCTCTCCGGCAACTTCCTCGGTCTCTATGATGTACAATATTTCCTCGCCCACTGTCCGGTCGCCTGTCTCTTCCCCTACGTCATATTTTGTGGGAGAGCATTGATAATCGATAATCATCGTGCCCGAAGCCCGGATACCACTAAAAACGTAAGGAGCACTTTCTATCCATGACGAAATCGTTCCGATTGCCTCTCACGAAGAGGAGGCGAATCATACGGAATCCCGGAGTGTGGAAAGTCTCAGAAGCTGCAGGAGCAATGCTCATGGAGGGATCGGCGGAATTTTCCCGAAGCGTTTTATGGGAATTCCTCGCTCAAAACGAAAAATTTAGAGCGCTAGAGCCCATGAACGCGGCGAGGAAAGATCCCTCTATTGTCGAGATCATTAGAAAGCGCTCTGTTTCGGAAGTGTCTTCAGACCGACTTCACATGTACGGCTTCACACCTTCACCGTTTCTGCTCGGCTGACCATAAATCATGCTTATGCCGCGCAGCTTCCTCTATCTCGGTCTCTCAGGGGTATCATTACGAAGGTCGCTCGTTCCGAAACGTTTTCCCATGACAGTCGGCATTAGGCTGCTGCAGTGTTCGGGGCTTCAATCACAATAATTCCCATCATTCATTTTATATGGTGCCAAGTGCCGAGTTTTTCTCTCACGGCCGGTCGGGTGGTCAGTCATTCGGTCAAGTTGGCTCTTGAGCCGCCAAGGAAATATTGAGCTCGCTCTGGATGGAGGGAAAGTCAGCGGTGCTATTTTACAGCACATTAAGCTCTTCGTCTCGCAGGGGAGGCAGCAGAGCCATGAGATCTCTTCCTCTGCAGCGGGGAGAAAACGAGAAGACCTCCCTCAGAGCAGCCTTGCTTTACGAAATCCTCGGCACTCATGGACCATCGGAGGGGTTTCCGGAATCACAATGCTCCAGAGGTACCGTGGACGTCGGAGGCGACAGAACGAATCGCTCCAATGGGCGCTCGATGCCCACGTTGCGGGCATTGTAGGCGCCTACACGCAAAATGTAGCGCGAACGTATGGTGTCGACCTTTGCGCTCGCTGATGCGTCGGTATCTCACGGAGTATTCCTCCGTGCTCAAACTCACCCCCGGTCGCAAGATGCCGCGAAACGAGCATAAAAATTGCTCGCGGGACTTCCTTTCGAAAGTCACCTCCGCTCCGTTCGGTGTGTTCCGCACAAAAAGTTCCCCACAACTGCGGTCATCTAAGGCCTATCAGAGCATCCGGAGGGCGAACTATGACCGCATGACTCAGAAGTGAAAGATACCTGATACAAGAGCTTCTCCTGTCGCAGCCACGATTGACCTCGGGAACGATTTCCGCCGCCGTCGGAACAAGCCTCGTTCTCTCGTGAGACGGAGTTGGCGTTCATTTCGGGATGTGTTCGAATTCTCGCTTTTGATTCGCTCTCCCTGAAGATAGTTCCTGATCAACACTCGAGACTTCCTCGGATTCGATAAGAATTTTGCTGGAAGCGAGAGCTTACGACGGTCATCTCTTCGATTCGCGACTCAAATGGTCGCACGGCGCAGATTGATGACTTATTGCTGAACGGTAGAATCCGGGCGGTCACCCGATTCCGTAAACCCCATCCGGTCCTGGACGATCTAGTACCCTGTGTGTGGGTCATTTTGAGCAGTCTGGGTAGAGTTCATCGGGACTTTCCCCGTCACGAGAAACCTCGCGCATTTCCTTCTGAAAATTCTCACGGCATTTGGCGAGTGGTTCTGAGCGATTCGACAAGAAAGGGCTTATTTCCCTCCCTATGATCCCGCGAAAAACCTTCCTGACCAACGTAGGACTTGCAACGATCGTAGTGTCGTTGACCGAATCTTGGGCCAGATTGTCTACGCCTCGAGCCGTATCTTTGCTCGCTCATAGTACGTCGTACGTAGTACGTCGCGCACACACGTACTCATCGCGCGTGAGCTTCTTCTCCGATGGTTTTCTCTGTTGAATGTTCTCAGTTTTAATGACTCATAAATTAGAAGCAGTTTACAGCTCTCGCACAACCGTTTCCGACTGGATCATCTTCCCCGGAAGTCAGCTATAAATGACACATCCATATAAAAACTTTGAGCCGCTTCCGACCTATACTAGGGCTGATCGCCGACGCTAATACACTCCGTCGCGTCGGCGGGAAGACCGCGCTGCCCCACAGCACATGGGATACATTGCTAACAGAAGTGCTGTACGAGAACTGCAGCGATACGAAATCTAACGAGGATTTCTCGCTCTGTTTGTTCAGCCTGTGTTATCCTTTCATTGGAACTTGAGTACATCGGAGACTGCGAGGATTATACGGCGAAGGATCATCTTCTTCCCGACGAATTAGATTCTGATGTCGGCGCAGATATGGAGACTGGGAGATAGGCCGATGGTCCTCACTAAGACGAGGGTCCGGGAAATTCTCGAGCCTCCCCGCATTTTCAAGGACCGGGAATGGTCCGTCCCTTGTTAGCATCAAGTGTCTTCGAAGCTTCCGACAGTGAACCAGGGACGATTGCTTCTGCAGCGATGAACATGCGGTCGGGTTTTCTTTTTGAGAGGCGAGAACGTTGTCGTTTCGTTGCCGAAACGAGTGAACCCGCGAGCGAGGAATACTTCGCGACTAAGGACCGCCACTTGCCGCTAGCTGCTCGAGTCTATTGTAGGAAAGGCAAGCGGGGAAGAGTTTGGTCGTTCCCCCACTACAAAGTTCCGCGAACAATGAGCGGAGCAAGCTGTTGCGATGTGTGAAGCGCTCCCGCCGAAAAGACGAGCACATGGAGGAAGAAAAAGAAGAACAGCCGCAGCAGCAGCGAGGCATTGTGGAGCATTGACTCCGAGACCGAGACGGAGTCCGACGACGAGACATTGACGAGTATGCGCTGGCGTTGTCGCCGTGCATCCCACCATCGACGACGTGTCAGACATCATGAATTAGATGCTCTTATCGGTAGCCCGACTATAGGAGCTAAGTAAGTAGCCCAACGGTTTACTTCGTGGGAATGAGGGTTTAAATAATCTTCGGAATGATATTCGTCAGAAATGAGGCTTGATCAGAACGGAAACGTCAAAGTGTGATGAGCCCCATTGGGGGCTATGGAGTGAAGCGGTCATCAGTCAGCATCGTATTCTACCCCGAGTTGTCGAGACTCGGTCACTGCTCTTCCGAGCTTTCTTGTGAGCACGCTGCATGAATAAATATATCGTTCTCCATACCTTCCAAAATTACTCGACGCGACACCTTCGGCGATCCGGGAGCGGTCGGCGAGCATTGATTAAAAGTCGAAACGCTTCGATAAACAACGAAATCCGATCAAGCGCTCTCTCTTGGACTCTAGGAATTCTCGCCAGACCCTCGTTCAGCTCTGGGCGAACGACAGGATATTTGGGCATGGAGACTTCACGAAACAGATTTTCGCGCATCAATGATTAGTTCGATCAGGGTGGTCCTGAATTTCTTTCCTACTCCACGCTCATTGCGGAGGAGTTCAGGCATATGAGGGAACCGTTGCTCCCGAAAAGAAAGTGGATCGAGAAACGAGTCAACCCGGAAGGAGAACAAGGGAGTTCCTCATAACAGCAGCAAGCGCTCTGTCACTGATGTACCATCGCGGACGATCAGCTTCAAAGAGGAACACTATGACCCTGATTGTCGTGGACGAGCTAGGACTTTTAGGGAGACGCTCCGGATTCTCGAAGTTCCTTAGCGATAACGGGAGAGTCGATTGCATCCTTTGTTTCATGATTGATGCTCAGCTTCCGTAAGAGACAGGCTATACCGGCCCCGCTGGGTTCGGGCGCATCTCCGGCATCAGGAAATCACGCGCCCAGAGCCTCACTGTATCCATTCGTTGTGTTCCTATACTAGTGAGTACTAGTGAAGTCCGGGAAAATTCGTGCATTCTCTCCCTGTATCGAAGGTCGTCAGAAATCTGGGAAATCAAGGCGATGGAAAAAAGCGGGCGAATAACTCAAGAAGAGCCCGTGAATCTGCAGGAGGAGGGCTGAACGAGTCGTCGCTGTCGGTTGCGCGAGGGTGGAAATATTCGAATCATCTCGTGAGCATCGCAGTTGTTTTATCGAGGCGGAAATTTAATTTCCTCAGTTTCGGACGGCCTGGCGGCGTACGTAAGACGGGAGGAATCCAGCAAGGATAATGATGAATCTTGGAATTTACGCACGACCAGGTTCATCGTTGTTAATTGCGTCGAAAGAGGAAGCTCGTATTGCCCGAGGCTCTTCTCCTGAGTTTGGCTCCTCTGCAGAGGCGCCCATGTGCGCGCGATGCAATGCAATTACAATTCGTGTTGAACCATCGAGTCTTGATGAGCAACGAGCAGCGAAGTCGGCCTGGTGAGACGGGACTCATCAGTAATTTCCTTTCTGTTCTTCGCAGAAGTTGGGCGATTCGCGAAGGATGACTTGCTTACTAACTTCCTTCCTTTTTCTTCTTCGGGTGGGAGAATTCCGGAGGCACCGGTCAGAGTCGAGTGTTGCCGAAGCCCCTCGACCTGGCACTGAGAATGTCCGCGATCTGTACTGACTGAAACTTCTCGCTGCTTCTCGCGAATCCGACTGGTTCTTTCGTGTAATTTCCTTCTCTCCTCTGGAGGGATCTTTCGGGCGAACGTGTTCCAGTATCGGAGTCGTTGCGGATGCGCCTGCGAAGTCCAGTCGCGTGGACAGGTACCGAGGTCCCTCGCGAGCGACTTGGCTAGAAGAAGTGATTATCGGTACTTTTGGACACGTTCCCTGGATGTCTCCACCTTTTTCGCTACGTCCGAGCAGCATCGATCAATTTATTCCACCAAACATTCCACCCCGGAAGATGAATCTCCACGGATATTTCCTGCCTGATGTCAGAATTCTCCCAAGTTCCCGAAAAGTTCTAGCTTGTCGAAAAGGTATGTTCGGTTCGATTATTCCCGTCGGCCGGTAATGCTTCGAAGCAATATCGTTAGATAGTGGAGGCGGGTGGAATTTCTCGCGGCGAACTCCTTCGCGCTATCGCATCGAGTAATGGTCAGGAAGAAATTCGCCCTACCAAACGGGCTCCGGGGTAATCAGCCGGGGTCGCGCAGTGCTGATCAGACATCGTCCAGATTAGACCGAGCTCTCAATCCGCGAGTAATCCGCCGAGAGATATCTCTCTTCGTTGAGGAGATCCTGGAGCCTCAGCACCGTCAGCATCCATTGACTTTCCAGTTTCAGCTGCCGAATATGGCAGTGCGGTGTTTTTTGAGCTCGTCCGATTCGTCCGTTCCCGACGTACGATAGGGCGAGCTATATCGCTCCCATCTCCGGAAATGAGCACACAAATGTGAGGTATAATGTGACATCTGACTGACGGTGATTGGCCTCGAAGTCGACTCGAATGTCCTCCCACGCGAACCGATCCACGGATTGTATTATTCTCGGTCCTTAGATTATCCCACGTGTCATAATATTCCATCGCCTAAGAGGGGTTTACCATTCCAGGTCTCGAAATAAACAGGAGACAGCTGATCGTAAGCCGATCCTGCTAAGATTCTCCTCTGACGGCGACCTTCCTCTAGTTTGAGATTCGACTCAGGCTGGACTCGATAATACAAGTTTGAACTGACTTCACTCCGGAAGGTGGTCAGGTAGCACCATGCCCGAGCTATCGTTCGAAATACGCGAGGTTATACCCTGAGCTTGTCAGCAGCGGATAGCTCAGGACGTAGACTTCGCAGCCAGCATCTCGTCTACCGGAGGGCGTCTTTCATGTTCATTGTTCCGAGACTCACCTCCTCGAGCGGCTTCTTCAGCAACACGATCCTTGATGGGTCAGCAGCCTTATGCGATCAACCGCGCTTCGAACTGCGCGGTGAGGAAATGACAAGGAATCTCTTCAAACGGAGCATTTATTCACTCTCTCTGAGCCGCCGCTCCAAACAAGACAAAATCTGTGCGTACATCTCTGCTCCGTCTGCACCCCCGAGTGTCTGACACGGGCCGACGGCGTCTGATTTGAATTTGTACAGCTGAGTGTACATTCCCTTCTTCATGGCCGGTGGAGCTACGGAATCAATTGATTAGTTGACGGGAAATGGCTTGAGAAGATCTCTTTGATCTTGTATGATTTGGCAGGAAGACCAGATTCTCGCTCACCCCTCTGAATCAGGTCCGACACGGCCTTACGGAAGGCCAATTCGACTTGATGAGCTCTCGAATCGCTTGTTCGTCGCCTAGATTCCTCCAAGTCTTCGCGCTGTCCTTCGAGATCAATACTGATGAATGGAGCTTTCTCCGCCTCCTCCATCAGGGCTTCGATATCCTGTGAGGATGAAGGGAGAAGTGAGTTCGCCTGTCTCCCCCCTTCCCGATGAATTTCCCATAAGATTGCATTCATGCAGGTTGCAATGTCCATGTGAACTTTTCGTAGGGGGGAACGCAGCAGGTAGCGCACCTCCAATGTTGGTGCGGGCTTTGATATTGAGAATTTTTCCCAGAAACTGTCGCAGCTTGGAACTTCGAGCTTTGAGAACTGATCAATGATTACGGTGTCCGGCACGGATTGCGCTCTTTTTCGGTTCCGTCGGAGGCAATCTTCCATGGGAGTCGTGAGAAAGACCGTGCAGAACGAGAGGTTTCCTGGAAGGGACTTCAGCGTTCAATCACTGTGCTGAGACATCGCTCAGATATTGCATCGAGAATGACACGGCCGATTGCTCGTAGTCCCCATACTTTGCCGAGCTTCTTGGAAGTATTTGTACCGCATGCTGCGCCGATAGAAATTATCCTCCAAAATTATCCGATGGCGTGTTTGGCTCGCGCAACAATCAGCTGTTCCATCCCCGGGATCTTCTTTGGCGTAGGAATCGAGAATTTGTCTGACGACTGTCAGGAATTTTTCCCGGAGCTTCTTGAAACCGTTATCTTCATGAGCAGCTGACTCCTGTTCTTCAATGCTGAACATCTCATCGAAGATGATCGTTGTGCATTGGGGAATGCGAGACTCCAAGGAGCGGATCAGTTCACTCTTCCCGCTTGCCGGTGGACCGCAAACCAACACAACTGTACATGGCATCCCGAAACTGAAGAGTTTATGTAAATCCAGGGACTCGTCTCGGCTCAATCAGACTTGATGATGCTGGGAAGGAACTCCAGTCGTTGGAACATGTCGAGCACGAACTTGATCGAATCGGAGTCTCCTCGCGGACCCCTGACCGGAAGTCGGGCGAGAAGGGAACCCTCAAGAGTACCCCATATCCCGCAGAGGAATCAACTCTTTGACATTCTGCATTCACTCGACCGCGTTCTCCGACAAAACTTCCTAAGTGAAGAGACAGCTCTTGTTCAACTGCTGTACGGAGCCCTGCCGTTCCTCCACAGAATCAAAGATGACAAGCACCGTTCTTGTATGTTTTTCGTAGCAGACGAAACAAGGCGCCTCAGCAGCGCCGGCGCCGGTTGTGTTGTTTGGTGCGTGTGCTGTTGACGGTTGGTGTGTGCGTGCCGCCTTTGAGTAGAACTAGTCAGCCTTCGGCCGACCGATTGCTAGGAAAATTATTAATACGATTTCCTGTGCCGAAATGAAGTATCTATCCGAAGAGCGAAGGAAGGACATCGTTGGACGACTGCGGAACCAAGCTCTGAGGATCCACATGCTCAAATCCAGACACAGCCACATCGCCTCTCAAAGTGGTATGCTTCTCTAACATGCTTTCATTTTGCCGCCTAAATGGCTGAGAGTTCGGAGGAAATCATCTGCTCGGCGCCGGCATCGGGGTCTCCGGAGAGCATTTAGAGTTGGAAAAGTGGATTTCTGTTATAGGGAAGAAATTCAGGATCTTCGGCGGAGAGTTTTCTTCCGAACGATCCGCTGAAATGGAATATGGTCACTGAAACAATTTACTCGAATCCATGATCTCCGGGCAGATGTTTTCCTCCGACGGATGAATCAAACTCCCACTCAGCCCCATCTTTCAAAGACCGATCTGCAAGTGTCATATCTTCTTGCAGGCGAACAAATGGCGCAAATTCAAGCAACTTGTGACATAGCTCTGGCTGCTGATTCGGATCGTCTCCTCGCTACGGCGAGTAGACTCGCTAGCGTCTGGCTCGCGAGCGGATCTCCGAATGAAGAGGTTGAAAACGAAATCGAGAGGCTCCTTTCGTGCCTCGAGAGACGAACTTATCCGGCGAGATCACTTAGCGACTTCAAGAATTCTGAACTCTCGGCATCGATGGACGACTTGTCATTGAGGGAATTCTGAGAAGAGCTAGACCGTCAATTGTTCCACAGCGCAATGGCAGGACTGGACCTGAGTTTCAGCGGCACGCAAATTCTGGGAGTTAAGGAAGGCAAAAAGTGAGGGGCGATCTTGTTCTGGACATCCCGTGTTACGAGATTGGCTTTTGTCGCGCCGTCATCATGGGAGAGCTACTCTTCGATTTCTCTTAAATCATAGTTTCCGTCCAAGCTCATCCTCGATCTGCAAAGACTAGCAGATCGAAACTTGGCAAGGGGGAAGATATCCCGCGCTCGGAATCAGCACATGATCGATCAGAAATGAATATGACGGGAAGTTGTCATTTCTATAATTATTTGTGACAAAGAGCTGTATCGGATAGCTCTCTCTTTCTGTGTCCCCCACGGACGACTCTATCCGATGAAAAGAGCGAGGAACGGTATATTGGTTGTGGGCGGAACTTACACAAGTCCTTCGTGAATGGAATCCTGGCTTCCCTATTCAGAATCATCAGGGAGCTAGAAATCGAGCGTCTAGCACAGAGGAATATTCTCTAGGATCATAAGGAGAGTCCAGACGGCTGATTATTATCAGTCTCCGGGGGGGATCAATCCCTGGCGCCCATTGGTATCAGCTTTTCGTTCTGACTTCGAGAAGACGCTTTCGAAGATATTTTGCGTTTCTTGGCTCCCAGATAAGACCCTAACAATTATAATGTATGTACATATATGGAGCAATTAGGGAATCCATAGAGATTCGCTAGCCCTCTTGTCCTCATCTTGCCCGGTCAACTCGCTCACTATGTGCTGTTAGAGATCCATCGGCGCTCAGCCAGCATTGTTCCAATTGGTTCGAGAGTTCCGATCTCTGTTCGATGTTTCTAATAATCCGATTGGCGTCCAATAAACCCGGTGGAACATCCCGATTCAGTCGTTCAATCTTTTCTGCTCATGGATGTGACGTGAGGTGAATGCCACCGAGTTCAAGGACTCGCGAGGGCGCTTTTATTGAATAAGATAAGATTCCAGAGTGAATTAAGGTTGGATTGTATCTGGGACGCTCAGCTCAACGGTGTCCCCCGCGCTCAATTCTTACCGCTGTTGGCGTAGAATCGCACTCCTTACAGGTGCCCTCTACTGCCATCTCCAGTCTCGAGTCCGTCGAAATCTTCTTCGCCGTCCCGAGCACTCGCCCCACCAGCCTCCTTCGAACCCTCGAGCTTCGAACGTCTCTCCGAATCGGGATGATTTCGAGGCGCTTTAATGCCATCCAATCCATCTGGTCCACTCCTACGCTTCTTTTTCGTGACTGCATTTGCGACAATGCCTCGCGGAACTCCCTCGGTCATTCCCTCAGGAAGCCCCGCAGCATCAGAGATCACCCTGGGGGAGTTCTCCACAGCTGCGGCTCTGCCGATGGCGACCTCCCCCGACAGCTCACCCGCACGACCGGCTCTGATCGCTGGAAACTTCTTCAAATGATGATCTAGTACTCGTCAAGCGTATGTCGTGAGGAGCCCCAGATCCTATTCCCACCCGTGGATATAGTCCACTCACTCGTTGTGCCTGTCACGCCTTTGCCGTGTTGGATGTTTAGATTAGAATAGGTAAACATCATGAGACAAACAAAAATGACGGCGATTCCCATTGCCCGTGCATCGGGTTTCGATATCTTTCTGGAACTTGAGTCGGAACTTGACGATTGATCGTCGCTCTTTGCTACGGTCTGTTTTCCTTTTGCCGAATCCTCGACCTTGTCCCCCACCTTGTCTGGAGTATTCCCACCAGCTTGCACCATGTTAGTAGGGGAACTCGAACGTGTCGAGGCAGTCGATTCCCGCAAGCCTACGGAAACGAACGGGAGCTAAGCATTTCGTTGTCTAATACCCCAAACAGAATTTGTTGGACGGCCTCGAAGCTAGTTCGCCATAATGTGATTGTGAGGAAGATCCTTCATACCGGAGACTTCTCTCGTGTTCTGAGGAGGGATAGACTTCTGACAGGGATCAGATTGTTTCCCGTTGGATCAGCCCCTTGGAAAATGCGCCCGGGGCTTTGGCGCTCCACGAGGTCCTCGTGGACCACGAGGACCTCGAATCAAATAAATCAGAAGGATTCGACACGGTATATTTCAGATTCTAAATTCGCCTTGAGCTCTCTACCGATTGTAGGAGTATCTCAAAACGAATATCGGTCGTTATGACGATTCGAAAGCGTCTTCGTCGGAGATGTAACGATAGAGAGCGAGTAAGGGATCAGTGGAGACACCGGTGAGTTTTGGAGTATCCTCTGGTGAGCGAGTCCATCGTCCTGGCCACAGCAACCGCGATCCAATCGCAAATGAATGAACAGGCTACTCCGTATGATCTGCACCTCTCGAGCGCTTCCTCTGAGGGCGGCCATGATCCTCGATTCGAGTTGCGGAGTTTATTTTCTAGTGAAGACAGCGACGGGACGTGCGTCACCTTGTCTTCGTGACAGATTTCATGGAGCGCACCTCATCGACCTCGGATTCCATACGGGCTTTCGTGGTCGAGGATAGACGGAAGAATGGGATTCTGATCTTCGTATTACGCATTTATTGACATCCGAAGTAATTTCTGCTGCTGCTAACTAGTGACGAGAAAATGATCAATAGTCCGGCTCAAAAACTCCCAATTTTTCCATTCTCTTCGCATCTTCGACGGGATCGTACGTCTTGTAGAATTCTGCGTATCTCTTCTTACGGGGTTCGGCAACTAAGTATTTCCAGGCGAGGCCTGTCAAGACCGCTGCGCTGAAGGAAACTGCCAAGCTTTTCCCGACTGCTCTCTGGAAGTGTCCATGGTACGGCGCTGGAGGAGTCGACATCTGTGAACGAGGCTATACGTGAAAACGAGTGAATGACGGGTGTCGGATCGGGGGCGATCGGATTCTTATCTCGGACCAGGCCTTGTCATGCTCCGTCTGCGTTATTCATTCACCGCCTGGACTCTTTCGTTACACCCCCGAATTCGAAGGAACCGAAGGACCGTATTCGCCTGGCCGGCTCGGGCTCGAGCGACAAGACTTTAATCCTCGCACTAATGATCTTTTGCCCTTCACTGTGGGATCGCACAATGTATTGCGGAGACGAATTCCGACTACGGTTCCCGCCGACCTCAGTCAGAGACTTGTGCAGAGACTCCCAACTCTATTCTCCACCGAATAAGACGGACACTCACCTCGACGACAAACGTTTGCCTGAATTCCGTGAACTTTCTCCAGCAACGACTTCGTCTGCGAGTTTCTCTTCTCCTTGGTTGCGCTCGTTCAGCGTAGCCCACCACCAAAACACGGCAGACTAGCCGATCGATGCAGCGCATAGGGTTGGCGGGTCCTTCGAAAAAGGTACCACGATCGGGCGCGGACTCTCCTCCTGCTCATTTGCTACCTAAGCTGAGATGAAGAATGAGATTCTCGTGATGGAATCGGTCAAAATGGATTAATCTCACTCCGGCTCCTTCGAGGAGGTATTCGAACTGAATCATCTTTCATCATAGAGTCATGAAGCCATTATCGCTCTATTTCACCTCCTTGTGACTTGTAACGTGCTGGGAACCTTGATGGCTCCCAACTTCCAGCGCTCGATTCCGACTCGTTCAACTCCCTATAAACCGAAGGCTCGTTTTAAGCCCGCAAGCTCTCATCTTAAGGGACTCTTCATGATTATTGTCGAGTGAACATTAACTTGAATCAAGAGAACGGGGACAGTCATTGCACCTGGAATCTCAATCATCCGCCTCAGCCTTCTCTCTCTGATAATCGAGCAGCTATGGCACCGACCCGAATAGCGAAAGCTTTCGCGTGTTTCCTTGGGAAAACTTCTTAAACGCAGTCGGAGCCGCGGGGTATTACGCGGGTTGAACAGGCCCGAAATTCTACTCAAGCGAGAGCGCCCTCGAAGATGGTTGAGGCGCACGGCAAGGAAAACGAGGACAGTTCTCGCTATATCCATCGCGAATCAGCTCAGATCGCCTTGCATATAATCGTCATGACCTTCGACGATATTCAGAAGGGAAATTCTTCCCCGCCTCTGGGGGCACGCCATCGCGGGAACACTTCTTCTAGAAATTAAAGAGACCATCTGTGGTACGAACATGACACTAAAAACCACCACAGCACCGGCCCTCATCGTGGTGTTGCTTGAAAGAAGCTTACACACCGCCCGTGTTCTACTGCGGCACATGCAGTTGGGTTGAGAAAAACTGATCAACAGTAGTCCCCTTGGACGGATCGAGTTGCAGAGCGGCCGATCGTCGAATCGTGCGTTACTGTACAGCATTACTCCCGAAGAGTGACAACTTGTCAGTTTTTAAGTTTGGTCGACGAAGAATACTTGTCAACTTTCGTTGGAATTGGTGCGAGAAATCCGAGAGATCGGTGCCACGTTTCGAGCGAGGCGACGTAAAAGCATTCGTAGCTAGAATGGAGGAGACCAACGCAGATCGCAATGTGGAGATCTGGAAGATCAAGAAGCTTATCAAAAGTCTAGAAGCAGCTCGAGGGTGAGTACCGGTTACACTTCGAAAAGCTGAGCACATCGAGTCATCACGAGCTCGGTGAGTGTTCGACGATATTTGGCGCCCTGTCGTCATTCTTCGATTTCGACCGCTTCAGCTCGCGTTACGCGTATCTGGGGTCTTTGTACGCTCGCGAGTCGACTTCGCCGAAGACGGCTCAATTATGTCATTCGCGTGGCTATCGAAGCATGCGAGCTTTGCGCCAGCATATGGTACAAGGTGCTCGAAAACCCTTTGGTTCTCCCCGACCGCTATCGTTCGAATTTCATATGAACTTCCCTGATGAGCTGTTTCCAGCCGCACGACAGGGGTTTTCGAACGTCGGGCGAAATCCGAGTGTTAGGACACAGTATAAACATTACTCGATTGCATTTGGCTGGAACAAAGATTTGAGCGCGTGAATTCCGAGAGGAAACAATCGGGTCGCTCCGAACAACTATCCGTTCGTCCCAAATCGGCAGAATATTCGACTTTGCTCCCGAGTGCAATGGAGAATATAATCAACGAAACACGACTTCCACTGTGATTCAGAACATAATTGAGTCGCCTGGAATACACGAACTCGAGCCGCATGCTCCGCATCACGGATAGACTCTCTCGAAGATTTTACCGGTATCCGGTATGAGGGACCTCTGTACGCCTAGGGGGAAGGTCTGAGGACCTCAGCCGAAGGTGTGAGTCTCGAGTCGCATTGGTGAATCACAGGAACGAACGCTGGCATGCTTCTTCCATCAATGATCCATCACCTTCCGCCTACTTCGGATACGTATTTCGAATATGCTCGGAGCTCATTCAGAACCGGCCGAAGACTCGGAGTGCGAGATCTTCAGAATCCCGGCGGAAGAGTCAAGACATGAAGTTTTTCCCGGTTTCAGGAATGGCACCAGCATGATATCCCTCATCATCCCACCTAAAGATCAGATATCGCGGATTTCCAAGATGTTGGCGGACGAATTCGGGACAGCTTCGAACATCAAGTCTCGAGTCAACAGGCTCTCTGTACTTGGAGCTATAACTTCAGTACAGCATCGTCTAAAACTTTACACTAAAGGTGGGCGAGCAAGTCTGTATATTATTCTCGATGGATGAAAGCAAATGATAATTTTCTCCGAGCACCGAGGAACCGGGTTCTTGCTGTTCGCTCCTCCCCGCGGATGGACACGACCGAAAGGCCTAATACTAACTGGATTCATCTCCATTCGCAGTACCCCCGAACGGCTTAGTTATCTATTGTGGCACAATCGTCACCGAGGAAGGCAAGGAGAAGAAGGTCAACATCGATTTCGAGCCGTTCAAACCGATCAATACTTCTCTCTATCTTTGCGACAACAAATTCCACACCGAAGCGCTTTCGGCTCTTCTCGCGGACGACAATAAATTTGGATTCATCGTCATGGATGGAAACGGAGCCCTTTTCGGTACGTTACAAGGGAACACACGGGACGTGCTCCATAAATTCACTGTGGACCTTCCCAAGAAGCACGGCCGAGGAGGTCAGTCAGCTCTTCGTTTCGCTCGTCTGCGAATGGAAAAACGACACAATTACGTCCGGAAAGTTGCCGAAGTCGCCACTCAATTATTCGTCTCAAACGACAAGCCCAACGTCGCCGGACTCATCTTGGCGGGAAGCGCTGATTTCAAAACAGAATTGTCGCAGTCCGATATGTTCGATCCGAGATTACAGACGAAAGTCCTGAAATTGGTCGACGTGTCGTACGGCGGAGAGAACGGCTTCAATCAGGCTATTGAGCTCTCGGCCGAGGTCTTGTCGAACGTGAAATTCATCCAGGAGAAAAAATTGATCGGAAGATACTTCGATGAAATTTCGCAAGACACCGGTAAATATTGCTTCGGAGTCGAAGACACGCTGAAGGGTCTCGAGATGGGCGCGGTAGAGATTCTAATCTGCTGGGAGAATCTGGACACGATGCGCTACGTCCTGAAGAAGAGCACGTCGGAAGAGCAGGTTGTGCTTCATTTGACGCCCGAGCAAGAGAAGGACAAGTCTAACTTCGTGGACAAGGACACAGGCACCGATATGGAAATGGTAGAGAATTGTCCGCTCCTCGAGTGGTTAGCCAATAATTATAAGAACTTTGGCGCTACCCTCGAAATAATCACGGACAGGAGTCAAGAGGGTTCTCAATACGTTAAGGGTTTTGGAGGCATTGGAGGTGAGTTCATTCGGATTTCTCCGTCAGGACCTTAGCTGATATAATCGATATTTGGACGTCATATGTTAGCGGGGAGACTGTTGGTCCTAACGTGCTTCTCCCCACAGGTATACTCCGATACAGAGTTGACTTCCAAAGTCTCGATGCCAATAACTTGGATAATGAGGATTACGATCTTGATGACTTCTAAACAACGTTATCTCCGTTCGGGATCACGATACGCGCACACTAGACTTCCTCTGAACCTCGTTTGCGTACTTGAACGATTCGTTGGTTTTGAGTCGACAACGATGTGCATGAAGATCGTGTCCCCTATCATGAGGACGGAACTTCCATTAATTTACGTCCTTGTCGTTTCCTGGGCGGACACAGAGGAACAAACCTGATTTTCGGTGGTTAAAACAAACGAAGGGATTGGATACGAGTCAAATGCAGCTGCATCACTTCGGTGGTGGCTGCTCGTTAGTTCATGTGCAACATTTCAATCAATCGGTCGGTCGGTGGTCTGTTGTTCTGAATGTTCGTTGGTTGTTCATCTCGAGGGAGACTTGCCGTTCTCGGAGGAAAAACACGGGCAGAAGCGGGAACTTGGGAAACGAGCGCTCGGATGCTATACCATGAGTGAGGAAAGCTCCGAAACGGATAGGATATAGTGTTTGATAAATGAGCGATATTTGTACCTAAGCTGTCTTCATAGATGTGTTTTCTTTTCGAGATCCATATTCTTTCGAGCACACTCTTATCGTAGAGCATGCTCGTTCACTTTTCGAGCCTCTAAAACCTGCCCGTTTGTTAGAGACTGCTCGTATCTCAGAGGCTGCCCTTCAATTTTTCCCACTCCTCACGAAGAAAACAGAGCGAGGCTTCTTTGGGGAGTGAACACCGCGGAGTCCATCGTACGAACACGTGGGCCATACGGAACAGTACATCAGAGTCCGTTCCGCTGCTCATTTCCTGTCTTTCAAATTTGAATACCTGATTCTTGGCTCTGGAGGGTTGAGATTGCTCTTTTACCTATGGGAACAAGTCTGCTCCTCTATCGGGGACTCTCATGTCCGAGATTGCTCTTCAACTAGAATATTTACGGCACGGAAAGTTCCGATGGCGTGCGCATTGAACAGGAATGGCTCAAGTTTTCCTTGATGACGAGATTTAGGAGATCGGAATCTTCAAGTGGCTGGGACGTTCCCAGAGAATTCTCAGTAAAAGCAGGCGTCCAAAGGTAGAAGCGGGATAGCCCAAGCGGACTGCACTCTCCTTGAACCGCCGGGAAATTTTTTCCGAAGTTTTTTTCACTCCCGCTTCCCAATCACCTCCGAGCCATGGACAAGGGCTCTTAGCATTAGATCCATGAGCTCTGTGCATCTCCTCTAATGGGATACTATGGAGACCCGATCGCCATGGACTCCCGTGTGTCCATATGGATCTTTCTGGGAACCAATGGTCTAGAGTTCTAGAGGTCCCGGGATCGAGGATCAGGAATCGATAATTACCCGTGAGCAGATTTCCCCACTCTAAGCCCCATGCTCCCTCTCATTCTTCGGATGGATACGCATTCTCCCCGCGAGGGAGAGTCTGAAGATCTGCCTCTATCGCCCTGCATTGCCAGGAGTTCTCAACTTATCATTTTGATATCGACCCTGATCCATTCGATCCCGATAATCGTGGCTCACGTGAGGGTCCAGCTCCGACGCACACGTGGTCCCTTTCAGCGCGGAGGAGCCTGTCCGAAACCTCGCGACGGCGTTCAGTGCGGGTCGCGCAAGTCTCGGCATGATTTTCGACTGGTCCGATAGTGTCAGGCTATTGACCATGCACCATGCAGTGAGACTTCGGAACGATATTGGCGTTTCAAGACCGTTCTGCAACTCCCCACAATCTGCTGGTTTATCAACTATCTTCCAATCTGGAGCCAAGGCAAAGGTCGTCAGCGTATTCAATGAATCACGTGTTTTTCATTCTCGATGGAAACAGGTCATTGATAATCCCCGCTAAAAAAGTAGCGGACGGTGAGCCGCTCTGAGACTCCGATTAGGAGTATATCAACCGCGTCCTTCGTCTTGAGGATTGGAGGAGTATGTACCGAGCATGTCGACAGCTCAGTTCTCACGGCTATCTAGGTTCCCGATGTAGTTCCATAAATCATAAGCTCGAGGAGTTCGACACAGCCGACACTTCAATCATTCGGTATGAGTGGTATCCCCGACGCTCGAATCGCTCTGTCCAGGCGCGTCCGCAGAGGGGGGGCTAGCGGGCTATAGCCCCTCCCAGATTGAGGGTTCGTAATGCTAAGATATAGGAGCGGGTCGCCATGTTGGAAATCAGCCACATGCGAAGACCCGATCTAGCCCCCCCAAGAAGAATCCTGTGGACGCCGCTGGCTCTGTCGGAGTCATGAATTTCTGCGGGAATGACAAATATTTTCGCTACCCCGACGATCAGGTGTAGCCCTGAGGAGGCTTACTCATCAGTCCTCCTCGGAGGGCCCGATCCTCGTTTTCCTCCTCCAGCGGGACCGGAAGTTCACCAAGAATCGGTTTCACGACGGCATTTATCAAGCGCAATCGGTGTTTTTTCTTGACCTTGGACTCTTTCGGGAATGGCGAATAACCGCGGTTTCTCATGGAATATTCGGTTTTTTGCAGAGCCTGAACCTTTGCTTACGCCTTCACTGCGCGGAGTCTCCCCGAGAAACGTATATGCGACGCTTCAAGGGCCGGATTGATGGCTTGAGACCTTGAGCTGCAGAGCATCCCTCGACCAGATTGGGTGACGGCTACGTGGCGCCTCTCCTCCGAACAGCTCGAGAGGACCAAGCCTTCCATAGTCCTGTATCAGTCAGTGCTCTGTATGTCTGATCTCCCAGTTCGATTCTTCGGCCTCAGAATGATCGACAAATTTCCGTTCCAGGAAATCTCCATCGAATCAAAAATGGGGTTTTTCGCGATCGATTAGAAGTACCCTAGAAGGAGCTCAAGGGAGAGCTTCGCGCGGGCTAGCGAGCAGAACGAGGGAGCCCTGGCACCCGGGCAGGGATCGCGGATGTCCCAGCAGTCGATCCTCGCTGCTCCGATTATTCGGACCGAGACCTCCTTCGAGCCCGGCCCCCCATTCCGGCTGTCCGGGCTGCATGGAGGGGTCTTCCTCCTTCTTCGAAGCACGGAAGAAGTCAGATCATGAACAAAAATCGAAAGCCTGGAAGTTTTGTGATGAGCTCCTGGCAGTGGCGTACCCAGGGGGGGGCGAAGG